TGAGATTGTTAAATGGTATTGCCCCCAGTGTAAACCCCTCAGGTAAACCACTTGTGGCTGGCTTCCAGATGGCTGCCTCGCCACTAATCCCAGCCCTTTAAGCTCGATATTTCAGCTAGTTTTCGGTACACATCATTTTCTGTCATGAGGATATTACAGGAGATGATGTCAAAAGCCTTGCTAAAATAAGTTAAACAACTTCCACCATCCAAGCTAGTCATCTTGTTGTAGAAGGCTGTCAAGTTGGTCAGTCAGGCATGATTTCCCCTTCACAAGTCCAGACTGACTACTCCCAGTCACTTTTTTGTCCTTTGTGTGTTTGTAAATGGTTTGTGTGGTTTGTAATGGAGGATTTGCTCCAGTCTCAAGGCAGTCCGAAATATAATGTAGACTTCAATTTATGAAGGTAGAAAAAACAAGTAAAACCAAATGCAGGGGCTAGAGGGAGAGGCTCAGTGCTGCAGTTGCGCATGAGAAGTAGCAGCTCTTCAAGGAGCCTTGTAGGTAGACCAGCTCTGTACCGCCAGCTGGCAGGAAGCAGCTGGTGTTGCAGAGGCAGTATTAGGACAGAAGAGTTCAGGCACGAGAGGTTTCCCCCCTGGTTGAAGATTACCAGCATTGTAAAGTCACTGGGATCTCCTGTAGGATGAACTCAGATGAGTCCTAAAATTTTGTATTTAAATGATATTATCTATGTGGAACTTGTTAGCACAAAAGAGGTTAAGCTAACTTGCTTCTAAGTATAGGGCTCTGTTGAGTTCTTCCATAGTTAGCACTGTTAATAAAGAAATGGCACCTTCATAACATTGAGCTTACTGTGACTCTCAAGAAAAGATTTTGCATTTATTTTAATATATTTATTAGTACAAAAATGTCTAAATTGGAGCATTTAGCAATAATTCACTGTAATCCTGAAGTATTTAATATTTAAAGAAAATCTATGGTGCAGCTGCTTTGGTAGACATAGAAGAAGAATCTTCTGTGGTTGGAAAATTACAGGCTGTGTAGGTGTTGAAATGCCTCCTGCTTCACATTCTTAATTGGCGGCAAGCCAGACACTAAGCATTTCTGGTTTAAAGTGAAAGGCTCCCTTTATATTTCTGATAGATAAAGGTTACATTTTGGCTGAATTTTTTAGCAGTTAGGATTTCTTACATCTTGATACAAAATGAATAAAATTTTCTATTAAATAGCTTCTCCAAGTTACCTTGACATTTTGCATTATTGCTGGATAATACAGAGGTATGCACCTTTTCCACGCAAGTTGTTTCGTAAGAAGTTGTGGGCCTCATCCACCTTGTGACCATTTTCCACTCTGGGAGCTCTGGATTTCTCAGTTCTGCTTTAAAGCTTTGTTGGAATTACTATGTGATACTTGGAGAAATCTGCCATAAAGCTTTAATACTCATGACATTAAATTAGATAATAAAATGATTTTGACTGATGCAAGAATATTACAAGCTGTAAATAGATCAGTTACTAATCATTAATTTAGGGCCATTTTCAATAGTTGACAGAATACTGTCCTTTCACTGAGTTTGGATGTTACTGGGAGATGTTTTTATTGAGAGAGCTCATACATGTTTAACAAATAAAATTGTGGGGATGCTAGTATTAAAATCAGTCTGAAAATCTGTACTCTCATCCATTCTTGCTGGTTTTGAATGGCACTAAAAAGGACTTTGGTGTGGCTTTGTCCTGTCAAAACTTGTCAACGTTCTTGTGTTTACAGACAACAGTTGAAAATATAGAGGGGTATATATGGTAACTAGCCAGAAAATTGGTTCCTGACACTTTTTAAGAAAATCACATCAGCTTAATTTTACAACAGTAGTAGGATTAAAACAGATTTACAACAGAGGATTAAAAAACTGCAAAAACACTGATACATTTTCTCAGCTGGAATACACACTGTGTTTAAAAAAGCATGCAGTATTGGATTCGTAATTTTCTCTGTTCCTAAAGTAAGGTATATACCAAGAGAAAAAGATAACCCGTATTCAAAAATACAGGAAATTATGATTGGTTTTATGCTCTGTCAAGACTTTTCCTCTTGACCTTGAGTTTATGTATCTTAAATTTGTCTTGTTTTCAGCCTGTTGAGGTTTCTTTAATTAATATTTTTGTTATTACACTCTGATATTGTGAATTTCACTGTATTTTTTTTACATGTGTGTTGAGCTCCATCCCCAGCTGTAATTTTTGTTTGCTCTTTATTGTTGTAAATGTATAGGCACAGTAAAGGTGAAGTCTCCACTCTGGGAATGATTCCCAGATTTTGCTCAGCGGGTCAGAATGTTGCAGCCCTGATGACAGCAATGTGTGATAACCTCAGTACAGTGTTCACAGCTTTCTGCTCATCTTAGAATTTATAACTCTTCTATTTGGGTTCTTATCTTTCTAATATTTAAGGTGTGTATGGTCTATTTAAAAAAAAAAAGGCAAAGATACTGTTTCCTGGTGTGGTGTGTGGCACCCATTTAGAACAGTTATTGCCATGACTAAGTTTGTGATGGATCCTTCTTGATTGCTCTGGAACTCGGGGAAATAGGAATGTTTTAATTTTTGTCCCAAATTAGTTATATTAATTAGGTGCTATAATCACACAGGCATTTCTAAAGATGTTAATTCAAGTTCAGAGTGGACATTAGGAAAAGATTCTTCACTGAGAGGGTAGTTGGTCAACTGGAACAGGCTCCCTGAGGAAGTGGTCATGGCACCAAACCTGTCAGAGTTCAGGGGGTGTCTGGACGATGCTTTTAGTCATATGGTTTAGTTTTAGGTAGTCCTGTGAGGAGCAGGAAGTGGGACTTGATGACCCTTATGGGTTCCTTCCAAGTTGAGATCTTCTATGATTCTAATAAATTACTACATGAGAAATCAGTGGGACTACTTGCAATGGTGAAGTTAAGCATAAACATGAATGTCTGTAGGACTAAGGCTTGTAATGTGTTTCTGTGGGCAGAAGCCATCATTTAGTCACAGTGCAGGTACATGCAGGAGAGCTAGTCTTTGCATCTGCCTTTATATGTGGTAGAAAGAAACAGGCACTTCAGGAGCACCGTCCATCTCATCTACTTAGGCTGAGATAAATTACTCTTTATTAAGTCCTGTTTCTCTCCATTACTTTTAAAGGAAAATTTTGTTAGAGACAGACACAGTCTAAGATTAGGTTAATTCCATCATATATGCTTTAGACACATACTTTCAAATTATAGTCACTTTGTGTTATTCTGTAGAAAAAATGAGACATATCTGCTATAGCAAGATTATTCTTTCTGGAAGGGGAAGATTTTGTTGGGGTTTTCCCATGTTAAGACCCATATACAGCATGATAGTTTGTAGTTGGTAGTTAGGCAATTACACCCATCAGCAGAATGGAAACCTAACACAAAAGTGAACTGGGGTGTGTGTGACTCTCCACCTTGCAAAAAGGATTTGAATTCCCAGACTTCTTCCTTCCAGCCTGTACTTAATCTTCCAGAATGTACTTCCTTGTAACACAGAAAATTATCTTTGCGACGATAGTGAAGAATACGGTCTTTCAAAAATACACTGAAATTGCAGTTTGCTAAACACAATTAAGTTAATGTTGGTGATACCTAATTGAATATTTTTGCTGGGAAATTAGAAAGTGCAAATTTCCAGTAGGATATTACAATATTTCTGTTGAGGTATTTTATTCTCTGTTGATTTTAACCAAAGCTCTTACTTCTGCTTCTTGCTTATTATCCAAACATATCCTAATTTTTAAAAGCACATTTTTATGCATTTAACAAAATAGATCTGAATTGGCCTGCTTGACTGTACCTATAATTTCATTTGATCTTCTGAAATACATGGATGTTAAGGATGATGTAGAATATTAATGGAATGTGTAAAGATCTTTTCAGCTCTAAATACTGCAGAAAGGCTTTGCATCTTAACTGTGAATTCTCTAACATACTTCAGAGGCAGAACAAAACTGGAAAATGGTTGTGCAAATCTACTGTCCTGTGACCAATTTATGTACCTAGTCCCCTTCCCTGAGCTCATATGTTTCACTAAGAAAACTTGGAATCATGATGGGATGGGGAGTGGTATACGGAATTATTTAAAAGTAGTTTTACTGTGAATTTATTTTAAAATTATGTATATAAGCATACTGTAGTGTCACACTACAATAAAATTTAGTTTAATTGTAGTGTTACACTAAGAAAAATGCTTGCATGTATACAGTTAAGCTTTATGTGTTTATTTAAAATTGAGCTGCTTAGCTGTTGAAACTAATCTGAATTTGTTCAGCAAAATGGATTCCTTTCTAGAAGTTTATCCATTTGGGTAGTTTTTGTTTTCGTCTCATGTCTTTTCTTCATTGCTGCCTACAGTTTTGCTCCTATCCTGCTTTTTTTTTTTTTTTTTTTCCCTCAATTGTTGGATGCCATTGAGAGAGAGGATGAGGAGAAACGTACAAGATCTGTAATCTAACCAAGTTTTTGCATCCTTCTTTAATCACGTTTGTCTATATACATGTGATTATACATCTGACTG